TGCAAGCGTCTGCCCGGTATTTATTTTGTTGTAGTGTTTTATTTGGGTAACCCCTTTTGAGGTAGTAGTTGATAAGATTTCTACCATGTGTATCATAGTCTGATTCAGAGGAGCAGATTCTCTTGAGTCTCAGGAATTGGCTAAATGGCCCTTTCGTTTTGATATGACTGGGGTGACAAGACGTGTACAACAGATAGGAGTGTGTGTCCGTGGGTTTGTTATATAAAGTGAACTGCAGTTTGCATTCCTGTTTGTTGTAAGAAACCCACGTGTCCAAGAAGGCCACTTTATTCCTGGAAAATTCTGCGGTGAATTTAATGGAATGGTGTGCATTATTAAGAAAGTTAATAAATGCAGCTAGGCGGGTTTCCCCTAGTGTCCAAATAATGAAAATGTCGTCAATAAAAACTACACCCGTAGGGATAGTTTGCGCCGCCATTTTAGCGCCACCCACTCTTCCATACGTATCCAGTGCATAATCTGCACAAAAACCTTCAAAAGGCCCGACGATGCCAAGGCACACGTCAAGCGTGTACATGGACCCTACCTGGAGCCCAATTACACTACGGGTGATTACCTAACTAAGAAATCCGGAGGACAGCCCTGCCACAACAATAATAACGTGAGTGAAAATTCCCACACCACTACCCATCAGTTTCCATTCCCCTGGATACCGGTGCCACCATTCACCAAATGGGACAATTATGTGATTGCAGGGGGCGACCTCGACACAGAACCGTGGAAGGTGTTCCCTCAACAGAACCGGGAACACCTCAAAAAGCCAAGCCGGTGACATAGCCGCCCAACTTGATACCATTTTAGAAGAATTCAGGGAACTCCAACCCGGAGCCACCCATACGGACATTATTAACACCAGCATGTTACTCACACTGTCGGTTCCAGCTACAAGTGACCAGCTTACTCAACCACACGTTTGAGACTCACCAAGTGTGCCCCATCGATGTCCTTCTTCCCCAACTCGGGACTCATTATTTGCAACTTCTTCTTCGTTGTGAAATAATAAAACACAAAACGTGTTTATTTCCACCTTTTATTCAAATGTTTCGTTTTTCCTTATCACCAGTATGACTCATTTAACATACAATGTCGAACAATTCACATTCATTATGTTCACCAAGGACACTATCTCGTATCCTTGCCTCTTAATAGCTTTGCTAATATATAACTGTGTCGCTTAGAACAAATCAGTGTTCTACTAACTACCCTCACAACCAAATAGGCGTCTGTTAAAAAACCGGCGAGCCGCCGGTCACTTCTTCTCCACCGACCCAGGCCACCTTCATTTACCCGGCAATAACACTGGCGACCAAAAACATCAATTTGGTACCACAAGCATACTTACATTGGCGACCCACCGGTCTATATACACTTTATACAGTTACAAAGCCACCACCGGCGACCACTATAAGTCGCGGGAGCACACGCCAATCGCCAATACCGGCGACTACATTTTACGCCACATCACCGGCGACCCACTAACGGCGTGTCACTATAACACACCACTTAGCCGTCATAAAACAACCAATGACAGGCTTACACATCATGGAATAAACGACTTCGCCAGTTTATTCAGGTATTTAAGGACGCACACGCCCCTAAGCAATCAGTCTGATGAGCGCAAGCCGCGCGAAACTAGTTACTATTACTATTGCTACCCATAGCTATATATCTACTGGTGAAGCCCCCACCAGTCAGTTTATCATACACATGTGATTCCCTCTATGACATCATACACATGTGATTCCCTCTATGACGTCATACACATGTGATTCCCTCTATGACGTCATACACATGTGATTCCCTCTATGACATCATACACATGTGATTCCCTCTATGACATCATACACATGTGATTCCCTCTATGACGTCATACACATGTGATTCCCTCTATGACATCATACACATGTGATTCCCTCTATGACATCATACACATGTGATTCCCTCTATGACGTCATACACATGTGATTCCCTCTATGACATCATACACATGTGATTCCCTCTATGACATCATACACATGTGATTCCCTCTATGACATCATACACGTGATTCCCTCTATGACATCATACACATGTGATTCCCTCTATGACGTCATACACATGTGATTCCCTCTATGACATCATACACATGTGATTCCCTCTATGACATCATACACATGTGATTCCCTCTATGACATCATACACATGTGATTTCCTCTATGACATCATACACATGTGATTCCCTCTATGACGTCATACACATGTGATTCCCTCTGTGACATCATACACATGTGATTCCCTCTATGACATCATACACATGTGATTCCCTCTATGACATCATACACATGTGATTCCCTCTATGACGTCATACACATGTGATTCCCTCTATGACATCATACACATGTGATTCCCTCTATGACATCATACACATGTGATTCCCTCTATGACATCATACACATGTGATTCCCTCTATGACGTCATACACATGTGATTCCCTCTGTGACATCATACACATGTGATTCCCTCTATGACATCATACACATGTGATTCCCTCTATGACATCATACACATGTGATTCCCTCTATGACATCATACACATGTGATTTCCTCTATGACATCATACACATGTGATTCCCTCTATGACGTCATACACATGTGATTCCCTCTGTGACATCATACACATGTGATTCCCTCTATGACATCATACACATGTGATTCCCTCTATGACATCATACACATGTGATTCCCTCTATGACATCATACACATGTGATTCCCTCTATGACATCATACACATGTGATTCCCTCTATGACATCATACACCTGTGATTTCCTCTATGACATCATAGACATAATTCCCTCTATGACGTCATAGCACACTTAGTCATCTTAGATGCCACAATTCCCTCCAAGATATGCCAGTTACCTATAATTGTATACAGGTTTATCAGCATCATTCGGATGTTTGTGTTTCACCAAAGTGATAGACATCTAAGATCTACTTGACATTCTTCTGCCATCAAACTGACACACTGTGATATACTGATATACTCACATTATACCACACTCACTCACTCACTCACTCACATTATACCACACTCACACACATTATATCACACTCACTCACACACATTATACCACACTCACTCACTCGCATTATATCACACTCACTCACACACATTATACCACACTCACTCACTCGCATTATACCACACTCACTCACAATATACCACACTCACTCACTCACATTATACCACACTCACTCACTCGCATTATACCAAACTCACTCACACACATAATACCACATTCACTCACTCACATTATACCACACTCACTCACTCACATTATGCCACACTCACTCACTCACATTATACCACACTCACTCACATTATACCACACTCACTCACACTCATTGTACCACACTCACTCACACACATTATACCACACTCACTCACTCGCATTATATCACACTCACTGACACACATTATACCACACTCACTCACTCACATTATACCACACTCACTGACACACATTATACCACACTCACTCACTCACATTATACCACACTCACTCACACACATTATACCACACTCACTCACACACATTATACCACACTCACTCACATTATACCATACTCACTCACTCACATTATACCCCACTTACTCACACACATTATACCACACTCACTCACACACATTATACACCACTCACTCACACACATTATACCACACTCACTCACACACATTATACCACACTCACTCACTCACATTATACCACACTCACTCACTCACATTATACCACACTCACACTCATTATACCACACTCACACACATTATACCACACTCACTCACACAGATTATACCACACTCACTCACACACATTATCCCACACTCACTCACACACATGACACCACCCTCACTCACACACATAATACCACACTCACTCACTCACTTACATATTCATTTTTTTCATTACTCCTCGTAGATTTCAAGTAATTGTTACATTATTTCAACTGAATAATGACTTGATTTGTCTCTTATTTTTCACGAATATTTGATGTTTATAATGTCAGGTAGGCTGAAGATTGGGCAGGCAACATTTTTGGGTCACCTGCCAAGTGTCTTGTTGGGTTTCAAACATTGTATTGATCACATAGGTGGCCTTGCCATGGCATGATACACAAAGTAAGGAAATAGACCAAAGATCTGAAGCCCCGTCTGGGATCAGAGTCGCATCATGGTCCTGAGGCTGACTTATGTGTAAAGACTTTATTTTGGGATGGAATTAACTAAACATGCTGAAATCCATAAGTGAACCAGAGTTCCACAGCAAATTCTATCACACTCTAAAGTGAACTTGGCATTGTGAGAATGTTGATGGCCACATTGTGCAGGATTGAAGGAAGTTGGTGGTTCGGCTCTTGCTGTATTCCATGTTGGGGTTAATATTTCTGTCGTCCTTCAGACAGATATAAATGCATGATTCAAGAATCAATGATAACAAGATCAGAAATCATGGCTGATGTAGCTTTGACGCTAATTATTCCATCGGAGTCAGTGAGAAGAGATTAAAAATGAATTTACACTGATGTAACGCAATAAGAGACAGAATTTCATGAAACATTCATGCATGTCTCCAGCAACGATTGCTTTTAGCGTCCAAGGAGTTTTATTAATCCATATTAACACAGTAATTTGTGAAATACTGAATAAATATTTGGACATGGCAGTCAATGGGTGGAAAGTGGGTGTTCATTTGGAAAAGGAAATTGTGACAGATCAAAAATCAGTTCACACATTGAATCTTCTTTACAATCTATCCACTCCTGAAACTTTTCATCTTGGGTGAAGGAAATATTTTTCCAGCCTGGCTGATCATGTTCAGCTTTATTATTGAATGTCACAGATGTCACCAAAAGACATCCAGTGACACGAGGTGAAGTGATGTTGATCTGTTTGTTATATATGTTATGTCCAGGGATCATGTCGGAAGTTTCCGTTTTCAGGATCTAGATGACCACTTGCGATCATGCAACAATGTCCGCTGTCCCCACCAGAAGTACAGGTAGGTGAAATTTTGTGTTTAGTTATTTTAGATATTTGGGATATGCATTCTTCTGTAGTTTCAGGTAAAGTGTTATTGATCAATGTCAACAGTTATGACAAAGAAGTAGTGCCATGGTTAGCGTTTTGTGACCAGTAGAGTTAGCATTATGCTGAGTTTAGAATTTTCTGCATATTGCAGATTTCGTTACATCAATGGTAGGGCGGCAACGAATACACTATGAGGGAAATACGATACGTATCATGAATATAGGGTAATGAATACTAATATTTATTCACAAATACAGTAACAGGTCATCAGAAACCTATGATTGTGGGTTTGAATCCCGGTTCCCCCAATTATGTTTCCAGGTTTGTCAGCACCATACCTGTGCTTGTGGGTTTCACCAAAGCGGTAAATTTCTAAGACCTGCATCCCACATCAAGCTGACATGCTGTGATATAACTGGAATACTGTTACAAGTGGCATTAAACCCAACTCACTCACTCAGTCACTGATTCACCCTAAGTACAGTCTTGCTGGATAGGACTTGAGTTAGAGGTACAATATCCATCCTTGATGTTGCCCCCTTTAGTTCCCAGATTGCTCTCGCTCTTCTAACATGAACAGCGCAATAAGGATGTCTCAACTCTGTAGAGTGTTGTGTATTTTCATCATACTGCTTTTTCAAGGATGGATCACTTCTCTAGCTTGTCTGAAGATACTATTTTAAATATGACAAGGAAATTGAAAATGTTTTGCTTCCTGTTTGCTGATAGGGAAATCAATATGAGATAAAGATACAATGTTTATTTTCAAATTTAATAGGCAATATGTATGCTGGTCATAGTTACAATTTGTTACTAATTCAATTATTGTTCTAAAAGGAACTGCATTTCTGTGGAGATGAAGATTTCAATGAGTTTGATCAGTTCCATTTGCCAAAACACGAGGCACCTTTCAAACACATAATTGAATTGAGGAACTTTTATTTGTGGAAGTCCCAACTGTGTACATAAAAGACTTCAGTAGAGCACTTTCCAGTACTGTCATGTTCGATAAAGCTTACAACAAAATACCTTCATTCTAACTACCAGACAAAGCCTACATTATGTGCCTTCCCAAAAATTACTTTTTGGGGGGTCTAGTATTTCACTCTTATTCTTCTAGCCAAGGTATTGCCTGCACAGTCATCAATGGATCATTACCATACTGCTCCATATATTCAGTCATAGTGGATCATCATCTGACTGCTCCATATATTCAGTCATAGTGGATCATCACTTGACTGCTCCATATATTCAGTCATCAATGGATCATCACTTGACTGTTCCATATATTCAGTCATAGTGTATCATCATTTGACTGCTCCATATATTCAGTCATAGTGGATCATCACTTGACTGCTCCATATATTCAGTCATAGTGGATCATCATCTGACTGCTCCATATATTCAGTCATAGTGGATCATCACTTGACTGCTCCATATATTCAGTCATCAATGGATCATCACTTGACTGCTCCATATATTCAGTCATAGTGGATCATCATTTGACTGCTCCATATATTCAGTCATAGTGGATCATCACTTGACTGCTCCATATATTCAGTCATAGTGGATCATCACTTGACTGCTCCATATATTCAGTCATCAATGGATCATCACTTGACTGCTCCATATATTCAATCATAGTGGATCATCACTTGACTGCTCCATATATTCAGTCATAGTGAATCATCACTTGACTGCTCCATATATTCAGTCATCAATGGATCATCACTTGACTGCTCCATATATTCAGTCATAGTGGATCATCACTTGACTGCTCCATATATTCAATCATAGTGAATCATCACTTGACTGCTCCATATATTCAATCATAGTGGATCATCACTTGACTGCTCCATATATTCAGTCATAGTGGATCATCATTTGACTGTTCCATATATTCAGTCATAGTGGATCATCATTTGACTGCTCCATATATTCAGTCATCAATGGATCATCACTTGACTGCTCCATATATTCAGTCATAGTGGATCATCACTTGACTGCTCCATATATTCAGTCATAGTGGAACATCACTTGACTGCTCCATATATTCAGTCATCAATGGATCATCACTTGACTGCTCCATATATTCAGTCATAGTGGAACATCACTTGACTGCTCCATATATTCAGTCATAGTGGATCATCACTTGACTGTTCCATATATTCAGTCATCAATGGATCATCACTTGACTGCTCCATATATTCAGTCATCAATGGATCATCACTTGACTGCTCCATATATTCAGTCATAGTGGATCATCATCTGACTGCTCCATATATTCAGTCATAGTGGATCATCACTTGACTGCTGCATATATTCAGTCATAGTGGATCATCATCTGACTGCTCCATATATTCAGTCATCAATGGATCATCATCTGACTGCTCCATATATTCAGTCATAGTGGATCATCACTTGACTGCTGCATATATTCAGTCATCAATGGATTTGTTTGTTTGTTGTTTAATGCCGCACTCAGCAATATTTTAGTTATATGACGGCGGTCTGTAAATAATCGAGTCTGGACCAGACAATCCATTGATTGATATCATGAGCATCGATCCACACAATTGGGATCGATGACATGCATCAACCAAGTCAGCGTGTCTGACCCCCTGATCCCGTTAATCGCCAGCTTTTACGACAAGCATAGTCACCTTTTACGGCAAGCATGGGTTGCTGAAGAGTTATTCTACCCCGGATCTTCACAGGTCATCAATGGATCATCACTTGACTGCTGTTATTGTATTGACAGGGATAACTGTATTTTGTTATCAGAGATAATGTCATTATTTTGACATTGGTAGTGTTATTTTATTGAAAGTGAATGTGGTTTTGTTTTGTGTTTATTTTGAATGACTGGTTACTTTACATCCATTCTCATCCAACTTTTTACAGTTGTTTAATCAGATCTAACACTTTGGTGTGTGGTAGACTGGTAAAGAAACGCCAAGTTTACATGGGGATGCAGAACTTCGTCAATATTCCATGTGGAACAAGCGATTCAGCCACTAAGCATGAATTGATTTATTGGTAGACATATGTATGATGTTGTCAGATTAAGTTGGTGATTCAGTGATACAACTGTGAAGGATGACATCCCTACATATTACTATATGGTTTGGATACTGGGGATTTGTTGGGATACACCAGTGAAAACATCAGGTGAGCCACAGAGACACATATCTCCAGTGTGTCATGAAATCAGATGAATGTATCAATACTTCCAACACTAACATGACTCCCCTTCAGCATGTTATAAACATTAAAACAACTTCTTTAGAGCATGTCATGACTTCAGTGACCCTCCCTTCAGTCTTGCCACCACATTGTCTATGCCGGCCTGGCATCCATTGTATGCCATGTCCTTGGAGCTGGCTAGTGTTACACAGCAGCTATTGAACACTTGAGAAGGAAATGACTTGGAAATCATATTGACATGGTTAGATCGGTTTGTCATGGAAAATACCCTGGTCAGTGTCCGAATTCATGTATTGATATTTGATGGTGAGGTTTGTTTGTAATGTAGATTGTTGGATCAACAACCGTGCGGTGAACAGATGAGCATAGTATATATTATTTCTCTCATTCCAGGAATCATATAGATTTGGGGAAGAATCCCATCTGTGGGTTAAAAACAGAAGTAAATTTTGGACAGGGTTAGATAGTAATTGTGCTGCTTTTGAAGTCATGATGCCAGGAAAAATATTTTATGCCTTTCTGTTTGGGCAAAACAAGACAACTTGAATCAGCTTGACATAAAGTAAACAACGTCATCCAAAAACCCCACTGACATACAACTAGCAGGGAGGAATGGATACAAGGTTCACATAGTAGTCTGTCAATCATTTCTGAGTTGAGAATGCTTGTCCAGAATAATATTTGCACTGTGTATTGCAGATTGTCTCTTGCTTTGCTTGACCTTTTGTTTGAAACATGGTTTTAACTGCATATATTTTCACAAAGATCACCCCACATATTGCGCTGTCCATGATCAACACTTTAAAACACTTCTGATCACACGAATAGCAAGGTTCTTAAATTCCAGAAACAATGTTTCTTTTGTTAGTTGCTTAACACCTCAGTCAAAAATATCACAGCGATATGATGACAGCCTTTAATTAATCGAGTCTGGACCAGAAAGTCCTGTGATTGACATCATGAGCATCAATCAATGCAATTGGGATACGATGACATGCAGTAGCCAAGTCTCCAAGCGCGACCAACCAATCTATTTATTCGCTTCTTACTTCCAGCATCGGCACAATGAGGGATTTGTGATGTATTCTATCTAAATACCAGCTTGAAGATATTTCTGTTTAGTTTGTGGAGATTTATTGAAAGTTTCATGGAGAACTAAATTGAAACTTGTCCTCCTGTCTGACAGTGTAGTATTCCTGATCAGGCGAGTTATGGCATCACCTGATTTTGATTCATTTCATTTTAAATTTGTATTTTTAAGCCTGTGCTTATGTATAAATACAAAATGCTTCAAAGAGATGCCCTTGATGCACTTTACGTCTTCAGCAACACCATTCTATCTGCTGTCATGATTCAATTATGATGCTCAATACAGCAATCAAAAGTCTGTGATTTTGCCAACATATTCAATTAAGCATTCGTGTGTGATTGGGTGGGGATTTTAAGGGTTTGTTGGGCTAGGCCTGCCTGCTACTGCCAGCACAGAGTGGTGTGGAACTGGGAATTAATGGCACCTGCCAGGAGGACAATATGGCAGTTAACACCCTCATCTCCTCCAGGACGTTTTCTGACACATTTTGCAATAACATCAATTTCCAAAGCCATACTCTGGCTCTCACCATCCTAAAACCTTGTCAGCGAAATAACACACCAGGACTATAACTGCTTGATACACAGTGTCACGAGTCAAGACTGTTGAATGTTGAGTTTAAGATGCATGTTTTTTAGAAGCATACTCAGTTGATGAAGTTTGTGGAGCTTGTT